GTACACTTAGACAACCAATTTCAATATATGTAGAACATAACTTGAAAAGAAGAACATGAACATGAAATAATAAAGAAATCAGAAAAATCTCATCATCAATTAGAGGCATCTTTTAAGATTTGTAACTCTCAATTAATTATTAGGGGGTTACAAAAAGGTTAAATTACAAAATTACCCTTATCATTAATTTATAATTTAGATTTGAACCTAAAGTGAAGAAAAAATGTATTGGTTAAGGTTGGTTAGCTTAGTTTGCACCATATGGTTGGTTTCTATTTGAACCAACCTCTATATATATATATATATATAGAGAGAGAGAGAGAGAGAGAGAGAGAGAGAGAGAGCGTTTGGTTCAAATGTTAATCAAGATTATTGTGTTAACTTTGTTAATCAAGTTCAACCAATAAAAATCCATCTTTTATATAGGTTCATATTCATCTCATAATTTAATGACAAGGGTAAATGTGTAACTTTAGTTTGTATGTAACTCCCATATAATTAATTGGGAGTTACAAAATAAAAAAATCTCATAATTGTTGTTGTTTTATTATTGATCTTGTTTTTCTATAATATTGATTTATCTATCTATAATGTTATTAAATTTGTGATTGTCAAAGGAGACCCGATAGTAAAGTTTTCGATATCATTCAAGCTAATATGGATAAACCCATTTGAAAACAACTCGATAACAATGAGAAGATTAAAATGTTTACGACGACAATCGGAATTCGAGTTCCGGAAGCGAAGACAATAATCAAAGTGTTTGTATTGGTAATGGATTAATATGTTATTGTATTCGTTTTAATCGAAATTATGTTGATTATGACGTTTATGTGTTTTTTATAATGCATATTGTGTTGGTAACTTTTTCTTTAATTATTACCACTAGCCCAAATTCATATGTTCAATTCGAATGAGTTCATCGTCAACTTAATTTGTTATGCAATCCAATTCTGATAACCATTCGGCTCCATCAGCTGTTTGTGATGCTTCTGCAACTAGTGTTAATATATGTTCAGTTGTGTTTATATATGATCTAGTAGAGACATGAATCAAGACATCTAATGAACTGTGTATGTTCATAAGTGTTCATTTGAATTTTTAATCAAAATTATGATGATTATGACGTTTATGTGTTTTTTATAGTTAAGATTGTGTTGGTAGTTTTTTCTTTAATTATTACTACGGTTCCAAATCACAAAACTAAAGATTGTAGCTTTAAATATATTATTTTGGTAGATTTCACCCACTACGATACACTACTGTAATACAAATATGTGAGTGGGGTGAATATGGTGGTGGATGATGTCGACGTGAAAGATGCAGGTACTAAATAAAAAGGGAGATGAAATCAAAACGCAAATTTGGTTGAGAAAATTATGGTAACATGGATAATTAAAAAATCAAAGAGAATATGAACGTGCATCTTACTTCTGTTTTAATAAAATTATTTATTACGGCATCTTATTGGTGGAAGGAAATTGGTTCTTCGAAATTTTTATGCTTGACCTTAAGACTTTAAATAACGTGAGACAAGGTGTGATGATTAAGTCGAGTCTTAAGATTTACGAATTACGATAAGACTATGCTGTTTTTCAAGAAGTTTTCCTAATTAAGGCAACACACACATGTATGTATGTATGTATGTATGTATGTATGTATGTATGTATGTATGTATGTATGTATGTATGTATGCATGCATGCATGTATGTACGTAGCATATGATTGATCGACACCCGAGGAACGCTCGACCAGATAAATGAGTCTTTGTGTATGTTGGTGTTTTGAATAATATTGTATAACAAATTAAATTCATATTAATTAATAAAACTAGAAAAAGAATCGTTTATACTAAATATATGAAGCTTATAAAAAATTATATCAAAAGTGTAAAATCGAGATTAAATCTCTATTCACTACTTTTTTTAATTTTCAAAGAATTCGTGTTCGAGTCTTCGTGCAGGAAAATGGGTGTAAAGTATTTACCTATTTAAAGTTTTCTTTTTGTATATATTTAAATATTAAGTTTCGTGCATGATTATTATATATCCATCAAGTTATATATTAAAACCCTGTCATTACAAAATAATACGTCACAGTGCAAACCAAGTGTTAGAATGAAGTCATATCGGATGACGTGACAACGAATTCATACCTTTAATACCATAACATGCTATAAAAAGTTATTTAGAACTATATTTCATCCTTATTCTTCAATCAAGTGAATACAATATTGTAATAAATATAAATACAGATGACAGATCAAAATTTTGACGATAGTTAAAAATAAATCAGATAAATTTGAAGTAAACAAAATACAAAATTACTAAAATAAAAATGGAATATTTTAATTTATATTTGGCAGGAGGGCGGGCGGGTTTGGTGCCCGCCACAAAGCGGTTCTAGAAAAAACTATTTTTAATATAAGTTAAATATTGATAGTCAGAATATTTTAATTTATATTTAAATAGATTAAATAAGATTCATTAATGATTTCATGATTACAAAATGAATTTGTAAAATTAAAAGGTTTTAATAAAAATTTTAAATAATGAAGTGCTTAAATATTTAATGATTATGGCTCTTAAAAAGCATTTACAATAGATTTTTTAAAATTGAAAAAATCTATCATGTGTTTTTTCAATTATATATTTTTTAAAGTTTCTCCAAAATGTAGAAATCAATATATATATATATACATGATTTATATGAGAATGATATTTATTTAAGAAAATAAAGAAATGATCGAATCATATATGGTTTTTACACTAACACTACGTTTAAAATCACATGTGATTCATGCGACCTTGCCACGTGACCATAGGGTCATCCGTACACTTTTATGGCTATTAATATAAAAAAATATCATGCGATTTTTATGAACAAAGTGAGTATATAATGACAAAATGAAATGATGTCTATTTTGTGACAACTCATAGTGACATGGTTGAGGGATATGTGTCGTTTGGGCTATAAATAACATAACAAAAAGTTTATTATTACTGATGTATCTCAATCTCTTTGTAAAAACAAATGATTATCAATATATTCAAATTGATCATTTATAAAAATGCATTCATTGTTTTAGATTGTATCTTATTAATTGTTAACCGATGAATTACGTTTTATTTTAACTCGATCGGTCAAGTACTCCTCGAAATAATTTATAACTACCATGTAATACGGGTGCTAACACTAGTTAAGAAAAATAGTTTGAAAATCTCAAAATTTAGAGAACTTTTTAAAATTTATTGTGAGAAAAAAATATTATTTTTTAATTGTTTCCATTAATGAAATTAAATGTACTATACCATTTTACATAAAATCTATTTCATGGTTTATTAGAATATTATTTGTTGTAAATATTTTAATAATAATAATAATGTTATTATTATTATTAAAATATTCAAAATAAAAACAATTAGAGTTTAAATGCCCTTTTCCTATGAATTCTAACTTTTTCCAGAAATTATTGTCAAAAATATTGGAAATGCTGTAATTAAATAACTAAAATACAAAATTTAATAAACTAACATAGACATCTTAATTACAAACATATATGACACCAAGCTACTCCTATATATACATATCATTCGTTAATGGCAACCTGCAACATCTCTCTCTCCCTCCCTCCTTGCAGACATGGGTATTAGCGATATGCGATTCTCAGTGAAGGTGATTGACAGTGTGGTGGTGGGTGCAAAAGAACCATGGAATGACCAGTGGTTGCCATTTACAAACCTCGACTTGCTTGTTCCACCTTTGGATGTTGGCTCTTTCTTCTGCTACCACAAACCCTCACATGGGAGTTTCCCCACCATGCTAAACACCCTCAAAGCTTCCTTATCTCGAGCTCTCACACTCTTTTACCCCCTTGCTGGTGATATCGCATGGAATGCAGCTGACCGGGAGAATCAAATTCACTGCAATAACCAAGGTGTCGACTTCATCCAAGCTTTTGCAGACGTACAGCTCAAAGAACTCAATTTCTACGATCTAGATGAGAGCATCGAGGGCAAACTAATGCCCAAGAAGCTGCGCGGGGTGTGTGCTATCCAGGTAATGATTTCAGTTCTACCCATTGCCTTCTAATTCATATGGTATCATTAGTTAAGAGTTCGATGGATTGTAAAAAAAGCAGGTTACCGAGTTGAAATGTGGAGGCATGGTGATAGGGATCATGTTTGATCATCGGATAGCGGACGGGTACTCATCTAACATGTTTATCTCATCATGGGCAGACATAGCTCGATCTGAAACCCCCTCCATGTTACCCTCCTTTCAGAAATCTATCCTCAATCCGAGGAACCCAAGCACTCATTCTTCGTCAATCGACAGTAATCTGTTTGCTCATTATGATCATCGAAACCGCAATGATGGACCAGATGATCGAATCATCAACCGTTTATACTACATCGAGGGTGCCCAACTTAACAAGATACAATCGTTGGCAAGTGAAAATGGGAGTAGGAGGTCGAAGTTGGAGGCTTTCACCTCTTTCTTGTGGAAGACAGTTGCCATGAGCATGGAAGACTTGGGAAATCACAACGAGATGTGTACTATCACTCTTCCAGTCGAGGGAAGGCGATGGTTAAGCGAAGGAGATGGTGAAGAAAAACAAAAGCTAATGGCTTCACACTTTGGCAATGTTTTATCGCTGCCATTTGGGACAAAAGGATCACAGGAGTTGAAGGAGATGTCATTGACCAATATAGCTACGGAGGTTCACGAGTTCTTGCAACCCGTAACTAGAAAAGACCATTTCCTGGACGTGATAGACTGGGTGGAAGAACATCGGTCGGACCCAATGGTCTTACCAAGGGCGCTTGCCAACAAAGAAATGACGGTAATCGTGTCATCGGGACAAAGATTCCAATTCACCGACAAGATGGACTTCGGATGCGGTAAGCTGGCATTCGGATCATGCCATCTCCCACCTTCAAGGAAAGACTCTTACGTGATGACATTAGCCAGTCCGACCAACAACGAGGACTGGATAGTGTACATGCATATGCAAATCAAACACATGAACTACATCGAGGCACATGCTAGTCACATATTCAAGCCCTTGAATGCTGATTACCTCAGGATTTAACATATTTCCAATCTATATATGTGTTTAATTTAGAAGCATGTGAAGTTGTTATGTTGTCAAATAATTAATGTCCAATTAATGCAATGAATCAAATAATAGAGTAAAGGTTACGATGGTCAACAAAACAGGTTCAAGCTAGCAATAGCGTGGATGAAGTCAACCCCGACGACAAAATCGGAGATCGATCGAGTTCCCATGAAAAAACTGCTTGAAGATTAGCATATGGCGTGGTTTTAGGGTTTACCGATTAAAAGAGTCCTTCAAATTCAAATGTTATTTAATTATGCCCTAATGATATATTTTTATTTTTGTCTGTTTAATTTCAACCTCAAATTCAGGGGGTGTTTGAGATTATTCTTTTAGGTGTTTTTTGACTTATTTCAGTTTAGCACCGGTGATAAACTAAATGCTAGTGTTTGGATGAGGAAAAATAAAACTGCTTATACCGGTGTCAAACCAGTAATAAGAAGTTTTTGAAAAAGTTAAATCATTCTAATTTATAATAAATTGATAAAGACTTTTGTAGAAAAACATAAGTTGTTTTAAACAAGCAATCCCAAACACCCGGGAGGGAATGAAAACTATCTACTTTCTGTTTCAATAATCCCTAACTTTTAGATGGTTTTCATCCCTTCGTCTAACTGATGTTGATATTTAATTTTCGTTCGATTAAATGAGGGATTATATTTTGATTATTTTATCTTTTTTCTTGAAATTTCTATTAAATAATTTAAAAGGAATATAATTATATGGTATTATATTATTTTATATATAAATATAGAATTTAAAAACACAAATTAATATGGTGTTTCTATCCCCACCCCTTCCTATTTTTTTTCCTCTCCTTTTTCTATGCCCCATCTATATAAGACAATAGAATACATTAAAATTTATTTATTTTGTTTTTCAATTTTAACACTTAATATTTTTAGTTTTAACCCTACAACTTTTTAAATACTTTTCTATTATATTCTCTATGTTTTTTTTATCTATATTAAAATTACATATGTTAATTAACTACATATTATTATTAATTAATTAAGTATTAAGGATACATATTTTTTTAATAACTAAAAAGATACTCGCACAATGCAGCAAGATACATCTCGATTTTAATATTTCATTTTATTCTTTGTCTCTGTCGATGTTATAATACGATTTTATGTGTTTTTAAGAAAGCAATAATGATTTTATTTTTGAATAAAATATAAATTTGAAGATATCATAAAAATTTGAAAAAAAAAGTTTATCAATGTTAATATCAAATCAATTATTTAAAAGTTCTCATTTTTTATGTAATTTCTTTAATTTATTTTTTTATTATAATTTAATTTAGGTTTAATATATAATGAAATAATTTATTTTTGGTTTAATAATATAACATTTT